AAAAAGGGGGGAAAAAAACAGTCTTCTCGCCAACAATGTTTTTTTTTTAAACAAAGGCAATGTCAAACATGATGTATACTTTGAAGTGTACAGATGTCATTTTCAAAATCTCTAAAACCTGATTATGAATACAGTTATCTATTGGAAATTGGATTGAATCCTGAGTAATACATATAGCTAGCTCCCAATTGTTTTACCATCTCTTTGATAGGGTTTATCGTACTTTCTTTCTTTCGTGCTCTTTCTATAACAGATTTAATACGTGTGCCTGAGTACGCGGAGATCACTTCGCAAAAGACACAAGCAGTGCTGAAGTCAGAAGAGGGAGATGAGGAAAAGCCTGCTTTCATTGAAAAGATAGAAATTGAGGTTATGGATCCTTGGACAAGTGTCAAAGAAGAGTGTTCAAGATATCGTGGTTGAAGGAGGTGAAAATAGAAATTATTCCTCGTTATGAACATGAATATACCCCTTTTATACTCGTTTATGTTGGCATGTTGGTTACGGAAAAATCTCTGGTGCTCGTCTTTGCAATCTAGAATAGATTTTCATATCGGCTCAACCTGCTTGATTAGGTTGTCAAGGACGTTATCTAAAAATCTTGTTCTATCGTTAATCATAAAAAATACCCAGTTATCTGTCATTCTATAAAAAAACAAAATTCATTCCTAGAACTCTCATAAGGGATTGATCATTCTCACTCCAGCAATCAAGTCAAAAAGTATGAAATTTAGCCTATATTTGGCACGCTTTCACAAGAACTTATTTTTTCAAAATTCATTTTCAACAACACATTCTTTCATAAAATAAGTTACACATAAATCAAAAAAATTTCTTTTTTTAACCACACATTCTCCAAAAAAATCACTATACCAAAATACATTATCTCACCAAAATGGGGCTCAAACAAATCTAGAAATGTAAAACAGACGATGTTGAGAATGAGTCTAGGTCATATTATGAAATTTAATCCATTGTTAATATGTCTATATTGCCATATGAATTACACCCCTTGTACAAGATAAAAACCATATAGGGCAATTTATACGTATTGCGTTGACGGTACTTATATGATTGCATTTTTTTATTTGTCAACTGTCAATGAGAAAATAACCCACCCCCTATATAAACTCTATGTCGTGTTATGTTATCATCCAATGTCACACTGCAATCAATCTATAACAATCTGTCACTCAATGTTTGGCTAGGATTTTTCTTTGGTCAGCTCAAAATACTGCTATAGCTTCGGGTTGACTGGTTCGGAGGCCTCAAAAATAGAATACACATTGCTTATCATCTTTTATGGGCTGTCTCCCCCACGTGTCCACCATATATAAATATTGGTATAACATTAGTGCATTCCAAAATTTAGTTTTGCTACGTGTACACCTAATTGGCCTTTGTGTGAGGTGACAATTTTTTATACATTAATTTTAACAAGAATTTTTTAATCAATTGTCAAATTTCTTCCACACAAGGGGAATGCCAAATTATGCCATTTACAATGTAATCCAAGAATATACAACTAGTATAATTGTTCAGAAATACACTATCGGCACATTGGATTTGTTTGAGCCCCTTGTAATAGTGATTTTTAAAGAATGTTTTTTAAAAAGTAGGAAACACTTTTAAGTTTATTTGGAAAATTATTTCATTGAGAGAATATATGGTTGAAAATGAATTTAAAAAAAAATGTATTTTTAAAGAATTGAACTCAAAGAAGAGCTAAATGTACAATTAAAATTAATTACTAACTTTAACTTACCATTTTTATCAAATTTTAATTTACACAAAGCAAGGGCTAAATAAATTGGACTCGTGGCAATAATCACATATGTGCAAATTTTTGGAGGATAAAATCAGGATTTTATCGCATGTGCTACGAGAAGTTGGGCGTGCCCACATGGACGTGGTATCACCTAAAACGGATGGCATAAAAGACATTTCAATTTCCCTTGCTTCCCACACCCAAGACTGAAAATGGAAGTCAAGTATATTCTGCAAAGGGTAAGTAGCACAGAACGTTCCTACTTTTTAATGTTATTGTGCAAAACGTCTCTACCTTTCATTTTGTGGTACTTTCACCCATACCTTCCACATTTCATTTTGCAAAATGTCATTTTCAACCATTTTTCCAATAAAATGATTATTTTACTTTTCTATTCAAATGAAACAAAAAGAAAAGAAAAGAAAAAATAAACAACTAGTTGCAATCATATTCTTAAAATTTTTAAAATATTACAGATAAGTCGTAAATTCTCCACTACGACCACTTTCACAACCCCACTAAGCCGGCACCTATAAATCTACATAGCACCACTTTTTGGGCACCACGCCCGCTAGACTCCACCACCGTAGCCTCGTTTCACTCTCTCCAACATCCTCTCACATAGTATTGGTCACAAAGTCTATCGAAAACAGTTACATTTGCAGCCTAAAATACCAAACTGCCGTATGTACAACCCTTCAGCAACCCCATTTTCTACGCCACCCAAGGTCGCGCACCACCACTGATGGTTACCCCTCATATCGATGAACTTATACATGGCCTCACATAAGTCAAATCTGCCTTGAACCATTCTACTGTAATCTAAACATTCGACGGTGACGACGTCCATTTTGCCAAACTTTTCTCCTTCAATTTATGCATCCCACAACACTACATCCCCAAAATGGCATCAATCGAACCATCAACAAATCCAAACAACAATGGGTATGAATCTAATTGAACCAATTATCCCCCCAACAGTTTCTATTTTTGGTCCAAAACTCTCCAAGGCACGATGCACGAAGAGAGCTATCTGACCAAAAATTGATGGGTCTTAAGTGCTCCAATTTTCAAATTCGCGTGGGGGAGGACGGTAGGCGTGGTGGCCGAAAGTATATGGATCTATAGGTGGCAGCTTGATAGGTTGTGAAAGTGATGGTAGTGAAGAATTTATGATTTCTTTGCAATTTTTTAAAAACTTAAGGACTATAATTGTAATTGGTTATTCATCTTTTTTTAAGAAAATAAAATTTTTTAATAAATATTAATTACATTAAGGGGGAACGTCACAGTAAGTAGCACAGAACGTTCCTACCTTTTAATGTTATTGTGCAAAACGTCTCTACCTTTCATTTTGTGGTACTTTCACCCATACCTTCCACTTTTCATTTTGCAAAATGTTATTTTCAACCATTTTTCCAATAAAATGATTATTTTACTTTTCTATTCAAATGAAACAAAAAGAAAAGAAAAGAAAAAATAAACAACTAGTTGCAATCATATTCTTAAAATTTTCAAAATATTACAGATAAGTCGTAAATTCTCCACTACGACCACTTTCACAACCCCACTAAGCCGGCACCTATAAATCTACATAGCACCACTTTTTGGGCACCACGCCCGCTGGACTCCACCACCAGTAGTCTCGTTTCACTCTCTCCAACATCCTCTCACATAGTATTGGTCACAAAGTCTATCGAAAACAGTTACATTTGCAGCCTAAAATACCAAACTGCTGTATGTACAACCCTTCAGCAACCCCATTTTCTACGCCACCCAAGGTCGCGCACCACCACTGATGGTTACCCCTCATATCGACGAACTTATACATGGCCTCACATAAGTCAAATCTGCCTTGAACCATTCTACTGTAATCTAAACATTCGACAGTGACGACGTCCATTTTGCCAAACTTTTCTCCTTTAATTTATGCATCCCACAACACTAAATCCCCAAAATCGCATCAATTGAACCATCAACAAATCCAAACAACAATGGGTATGAATCTAATTGAACCAATTATCCCCCCAACAGTTTCTATTTTTGGTCTAAAACTCTCCAAGGCACGATGCACGAAGAGAGCTATCTGACCAAAAATTGATGGGTCCTAAGTGCTCCAATTTTCAAATTCGTGTGGGGGAGGAGGGTGGGCGTGGTGGCCGAAAGTATATGGATTTATAGGTGGCAGCTTGATAGGTTGTGAAAGTGATGGTAGTGGAGAATTTATGATTTCTTTGCAATTTTTTAAAAACTTAAGGACTATAATTGCAATTGGTTATTCATCTTTTTTTTTTTTTTGTTTTATTTGAATAGGGTGGTGAAATCGTCTTTTATTGAAAAAATGGTTGAAAATGACCGTCTCTGTAATGAAAGGTGGAAGGTAGGGATGAAAATGTCAAAAAATGAAAGGTATGGATGCACAATGAAAAGGTAGGGGTGTTATTTACCTTCTGCAAACTCCACGAAGTTCAAAGGTGTCGCTGCAATTTTACTGCCGGAAACAGAGTTCAGGTAATAAAATTCAATTAAATCTCGATTTTCTGTTCATTCAAGGTGTATCCAGTTCTATTCAAGAACCCATATCTTATAGTATTATTTTTGTTCTGTTATATCAATCGTCCTTGATCTTGCCCATATTCTTCGATCTTGGTCTTCACATTTGTGTTGCCAGTTCGACATCTGATCGAGGTGAAGGTGGGTGAGCCAAGTACTAAGCTTCGACTGATAACATTAAAGTTATTAAGCAGTTGTAATTATCTTTTCTCGGGCTTCAGGCTGTCCTATAGTAGTTTCCTAGTTCTGGTTGAGAGTCTATAAAATTTGTATAGGCGTCAAGAAATAGTCAATGTTGTAATAGAGATTCATGTTTTCAAAGCTGAGAAGGTTAATTTTACAATATATGGACGTCATTTGAAAGAGTTCTAAAATACTTGTCACTTTCCACTTTTCTCTCTTCAGGATCCTTCTTAAAAAATTTCCTCAATTTCTATATATAATAGAGGTTTAGTGGCCTCTAGTGTGTATGTGTGCGAATAAACATGTGTAAATGTCTTGTTTTGATTCTAATTTTTGCATATAGTTTAGTGTAGATTCTTTATTTGCTGTTTCAGAAGCACATGACAACTAGAATTGAGATGTGCGTAAATATCAATCTTGGCAATGCAGTGAGTTGATCGAAGGAATATAGAAAAGTATAACATAGCTTTCGGATACAAGTAATCTTCTGACAAGTATGGTTAGTACTTCATCAAACTTGGGGCCAAATCTCACTTATAACACAAATACTGGTAAGTCAATATTCTTCCAGTTACCTCTGATATACAAGTAAAAAATTTCATTCTATTATGTGGATGCATCTTTTTAAATTGGCATATGTTGACATGCCAGAGAAGGATCTCAACTTCTACCTACCACTGTATAAAGCTGCAATCAAAGGAGATTGGGAGAGTGCTAGTATATTATTTAATTCAAATCCTGAAGCAGTCAAGGCCAGGATCACAAAGAATTTGGAGACGGTACTTCACATTGCAGTAGGAAGAAGTGAAGCAATTAATTTTGTGGAGAAGTTAGTGGAATTGATGCCAGATGAGGCATTGCCTCTGACAAGTAAGTTTAGTGAGACTGCCCTACACTATGCTGCCAAATATGGAAATACCAAGGCAGCAAATATATTAGTGACCCGAGATCCAGGTTTACCTAACATTTGGAGTGATACCGACTTATTACCTCTCCATTTAGCAGCACTTTTTGGGCACAAGGAAGTGGTTTCGTTTCTATTGACTGCTACCAAATACAATATACAGCCAAACCCTTTTGCAGATAAACCTGGAATTACTCTCCTGATGTCCATAGTACACTCAGGATTCTATGGTGAGTAATGATAATGCACTTGATTAACAATTGCAGAAAACATTATAATAAATGCCAATATAATACAAATATTGGCTATTCAGTTGCGTTCTTTGATTTGGAGAATGTAAGGAAATCTTGCATTTATGCTGGATGTGGATTGATGTTAATATACTTATATTTATCTGTGTATTTCTGCAGATGTGGCTCTGGATCTTGTTCAGTGTTATCCTAAGTTGGCTGTAACTATATCTCCAGGTGGCAACACTGCTTTGAGTATTTTAGCTGGAAAGCCTTCAGCATTTCTGAGTGGTTGTTCCTTAGGGTTTTGGCAGAAGTTCATCTATTCATGTTAGTTTCTGCAACTGCATCCTTTCTTTTCAATGACATGTTGTCTCCTAATCTATCTTTCAAACTTTCTTCTACTTTGGAGTATACTGCTCCTTACGACATCAAGATAACTTGTAGTAAATGTCCACATGCCTGTATGAAAATGATTTGCAACTGGCATCTAATAATATACCCCATCTGAATCATTGTTTGCTCATTGCAATTTATGCATAATCCTTATCCTTCACCTTTCCTATGGATGTGAAATGATTTGCCAACCATGTCGACTGATTATGTGCTTCTTATCATCATAGCGATCTATTAGGCAACTAACCTCTGGTTCGGATGGATTCATAGGAAACTCACCTATCCCAATAAAAAAAGATTCTGATTTAAATTATCTTATATATGAGTTAAATTGGCTAAGGTTATAGGTCATAGTTATTATTAGAGGTTTATTTAGTTTCCTAGTATAGAAAAGGAAATCGGAAATCACATAAAATCAGGGATTTAATTTATATTGTACAGTATCTTTATTTCCTTGTATACTCTCTGTAATACACTATAAATAAAATGCCAAAATAGGCTGAATGGAATTCGGAAATTCAGAAAATTGGTCTCGTTTCTCAGTTATTACTAAGAACCAAAAGCTCTAGATGCTTAGCTGCAGTTTCTCTTTCCAACCTAGCTAGCTGGGCTAAGTTGGAAGGTTTATCGTGTTCCTCGTGCACGCACACCCGTTGACCGGCCTCATGCATCCAGGAACTTTCCAACGAAAGATTGGAAGATCGATGAAATTTCATAGAGTCATTCGATATGAATGCTATAAAGAGTGATACAGATAGAGCTACTGCGACTTACTCTTGCAGTACCCTGAGCACAAAAGCATGCAGTTCCAATGCTTATCCCATGCTGGATCCATAAGGGATACTAGATTACTCTACATTGTTGTTTTTAAATGTTAGCAGAAATAGTAAAGAGAAGACAAAGGGGAGGAGGGAAAATGTTCTATAAATTCCTTCTTGCAAATCCCAGTTATGAAGGTGACTCGTGTATATTGTTCTCTCAAGATAATGAGTTCAGTCTTTCCTGAACTCTTAAGTTTTAAGGCATTATTAGATAATCAATTGGTCAAGTGAGTTTGATTATTTCTAAACCTTTTTTGTTTTTAGTTTTTCCCCCACAAACTCTTCATTTTTTGACAACACAGACCATGTGGACTTCATTTTCCCTAAGGCTATATTCTGAAGCCCGTCAACTCTTTTATGCTCTTTAAGATTTAAGTTTAGGCCCTCTGTTTCTCATGTTCTTTAGAGACAAGTGACTGGTGGCCCTACTCATTTTACTTGAACATTTATGACATTGTAAAACTTCAGTTCCATATTTCACTGTTTCAGTGTATCAAATGAATTTAGCCTGTCTTGCTGTGAAATGCTTTTCTGGATATACAGAATAAAGATTATTGTAGGTGATGTTAAGCAAGAAGGTTTTCTCCAAATGGTGCAGAAAATTAAAGAGCTTGCAGCATCTACAGATTCTAGGATCTAGGTAAAAAAAAGGATCCTAATTTTTTTCTTTTGTGTAGTGAAGGACATTTCGTTAAATATTTAGCAAGTTTGAGATTGAAATTATTAATCATTAGAAGATTTGTAATTAAAATTCAAGCATCAAGTCATTCCACATTTCAAATTTTGGAGACGACTAAGATGGGGAGACTAGAGATAGGCTGAAAGCAACGGGACACTGTAGGAGAGCCTGGACTACTATAATGCAGGCACTAAATGGTGCAAAAAAGAAATTTGCATCTATTCATAAGGAAGCATAGTTTCTTAATTGTTCTCTTGTTTTCATGCTTAAACTCGAAAAGATCATTGCAGTTTTTCGTAGTTGCAATAAACGGGTTTTGTGAAAGAGACATATTTATTTGTTTCTTCTTGAAGGTGTTCCTGTGAAGTTGGCTAAAATCTCTTACCACCAGAATAGAAATGACATTGAGAACCTTTCTGAGCCACCACCGAAGCACATTGGTATATTCTACCATGTTCTGATTCAAAAATTCGGAAAAGATTATCTACTTTTTGGTATGTGAAGTTTTCCTTTGTATATTCACCATTTTGCAACTTATATAACATCAAGTGTCACAGACTGGTAATACAACCAACTATTATAGAAAAATGTGGTTGCAGCACTTTCAATTTTGCACAAGTGTGATTTCTTTTTGGTCGGGGAAAATGTCACATTCCAAACTCTGCTGAAAAAGGCCTGTTCTTTTACACAAGTGTATAAGGGTTTGTCATGTGGAGGTGTAAAATGCCATGACGCCATCCAGTGTTTATGGACATTTAAGTGTTACCTATGCTTAGCACTTAATACCAAAGAGAAATTTACTAGTTCTTAATGAAATGAAGCAGCTCTTTGACATTCTCTTTCTAAATCTACTTTTATGCTTTTGGTTCAGTTTCAACAGTTTTTTCATTGTTATGTTGAACAGCATGCCAGAAGTTGCATAAGAAATTCTGGGAAGTCATACAAGCAATAGGTATGTAGTTAAAAGGTATCTCTTTGGCTAATTAAAATTTCTTAAGGTAGCTCTTTCATGCATCATGTGATTTTTATTGCAGTGCCGCGGGTTAAGCATATACATGACACAAAGTTGATGCATTGCCAAGCAATTGAACTTGTCAAGTTCTTATGCATGGAAATTCCACACACAGATAACTCTACATCTGGCTCCATATATAAACCAGCAGTCATTAACGCAGCAACACTTGGACATTATGAAGTTTTGGAAGAAATTTTGAAGGCATTTCCTAGTGCAATTTGGTCATTAGATAAGGAGCACCATGATTTGTTCCAAATGGCTGTTATTAACAGACGCGAAACTATTTTCAATCTCCTATATGAGTTGGATGAGCATGCACATTTGGTGACGCAAAATATTGATAATCACGACAACAATATATTGCACTTGGCCGGGAAGTTAGCACCTCCGCACCGCCTTAATCTTGTAGCTGGTGCAGCTTTGCAGATGCAATGGGAGTTACAATGGTATAAGGTGATAAATCTCTTACACGCTTATGCATCCTTTTCTTTTCTGGGGTAAGTGTGCGGGTCATCAGGCTATGTATCCTTACTAGTGTATTGTATATCATATCCTACATAAATAAAAGAATCACTTTGGTTGTTACTGTTCATAAGCCGAACTGAGCCAAATGGCTTTATGGCTCAGCTAGGCTAAGCCGTCTAAGCTTTTTTTTTTTTTTTTTCTTTTAACGTTTGATTCAATATTTTAAGCTACAAATATTCGTTTTAAGCGATTTAAAATTTGTTGGAAATGTTGAAGTGCGGCAATGATAAATATATGATTGCTAAATTTTAAATATCAAAATAATGTTACATTAATTGTGAAACATAAAGTCGTGATTGTTTATGTTTCTTTTCAATCTCAACCCCATTCCAATGTCTTTTTTTCGAACTTTATTTTCCTACAATTTTTCGTTTGATTTGATGTTTCACGATATGAATATCCATTTGGATTGATTTAAAATTTTTTAA